TGTCCAGAAGGGACCCTTGGACCATGCCTGCCCAAGCTTACCATCACCATCCCTGGATCCTGGGCCCTCACCCCTAGACACATCTGCTCCTGCCCAGCTCCTCCCCTGACAGTGCCCCTGAGGCCTCTTTGTCTGTAGTGCGGCTCTAAGCCTTGAATACCCGATCATCCTGTACCTTGATGCCCAGGGTTGAAAGCAGGCCATCCCTTCTTCAACATCGCCCTGGCCCAACACCACACCCACCAACCTCTGATCTCCCATCAGACATAGGATCTCTCTGCAGCCTTCATTCCTACTGCTCAGGTCCAGGACACCTACAGAGACCAAGGGCAAAGACAGCTTGTCTGGAACCTGGAAGTCCCTTGCAACATCTGGCAAGCCTTTTATCAGCAGAGGCAGCCTTGTCTATAAAATGTGGGTGTAATACTAATCATAGCCTCTAGAGGGCGTTTCTGCAAGTATTAAATCAGGTAAGGCAGAGAACGAAGGATCTGGGGTCAGCTGTGAGTATCTTAGGGAATTCATCCCCTAAATGTTAAAACAGGGAGATGTTACAGAGAGGAGCCATCCCACCAGGCTTCCTGGGAAGCGCAGAGAGGAGGAGCTATGTGCTAAGTGTGCACCCAGAAGTGATCTCTTGTCTCTCTGCCTTCTCTGCCTCTCCCCTCTTCACCTCTTCACCTTTGCACCTGCTGACCTGACCTTCCCTCCCCTCACCCAAGGATCCTGAAATTCTTTAAGGGCAGGTGTGTCCTTTCTCCTCCAGGAATCCCTACTGGAGGCTGCCTCTGACAGCTCAAACCTACCCTTTGTGGGTTGCTTAGCCCATCTTTGCTTGAGATCTTTAGCCTTTCTATGTGGGTGGCAGGCTCCTGGGACCAAACTCCACATGCATCAGAGTTCATGGTGGAGCCCAGCATCACAGCTGTTCACGTGTGCACACCAGGCTCAGGCTGAAGGACACCGCTGGGGAGCTTTGGGCTTCTGCCTTGAAGCCATGGAGACAGCAGTCACCTTCTGTTGGTGGATTTGATGCACAGGCTCTGGTGGTCTGCAATTGTCCTGTGCTGATTCCCTGTTTCAAGATGGCCCACACCACCTCCCATACTCAAACCACCCAGGTCTCAGCGCTGCCTTCCAACATGGCAGTTGGCTAGTCTTCCTAAGCAAAACCTCTCACATGCATTGTGAGTAGAATCCATAGAACCCTCATTGAGCCCTTTACAACACTGGGGATTCCAGTGTCTAACCCAGGACAAGCCTTCTGTGGCGGTTTGAATGGGAACGCCCTCCCCAAAGGCACACGCATTTGAACGCTTGGTTATCAGGGAGTGGCGATACTTGACTGGGATTAGAGCGCCACCCTTGTTGGAGGAAGTGTGTCACTGCAGACTGGGCTCTGGGATTTCAGATGTAGAACTCTCAGCTCCGTCTCCAGCACCATGTCTGCCTGCATGCCACCATGCTGAAAACAGACTAAGCCTCTGCAACTGTAAGATGCAGCCCCAGTGAGATGTTTTCCTTTATAGGAGTTGCGTGATTATGGTGTCCCTCAGAAATAGAACACCAACCCTCTATCCCAGGATTGTTCCAGAAGTCACCACCACTCCCAGTCTTCCTGTTTCTCGGGGGGGGGGGGGGGTGGTTCATGACTCACTACATGGTTTGACCCCTGAGATGGCATGTGGCTAGCCTGCTCTCTCACCTGGAAAAAGGACACAATTTCTGAGACAGGAGATGAAACAGACCATGAGCCCTGGTCCCCAACCAGAGGGCCCCTGACAAACTCCTTCCTGGCCACCTCCTTGTGAATTCCTAGTTGATACCCTAACCAGTCCAGAGCCACTACTAGATCCCAGATCTCTCAGCAAGACTAAGACATCCTCCACAGGACCCTTTCTCCTGGAAACATCTATCCTCTGGGCCTTAAAGGAGGCAGAGGGAAGAGGAGGGAGACCAGGAAGGCAAGAGACAGAACAATGACCTGAATCATCGTACCACGCTGGTGCAGTTGTTGTTATTGTTTGTTTGTTTGTTTGTTTGTTTGTTTAATCGTTTTGGCAAAGGTGAATTTAGACGCAAATACTTGGAAGAGACTTCGGGTCTTTTAAATCGACCCAAGGACACAATCTTTTAGAGACGATCTAAATCCAGATGGTGACACAGGGAGAGACCCGAGATGGCATAATCAAGACACTCGTGCATTTCTCTTTCTAGACAAACTCAGTCTTGGGCTGTTGTGGGGTCAGGGTTGGGAATCAGACCCCAGAAACGCTCCTTTTTTGGAGCCTGGCCCAGCGGTCAGGAAGAGGCTAAGGCTAGTTTCTTTGCTCTCACTCCATTGGTTAGAACTGAAGCACGTGGCCACCCTTGCCTAAGGGAGGCCTGGGAAATGTAGTCCTTTGTTCCACACCCTGCCCTGCTGAAAAGAAATGCAGAAGGCAACAACTTTCCAAGAGCTCACTTTCCCAAGCTCAGGCGATTTCAGTGCTCTTTCCATGCCCACCACCATGGCCAAAAGATAGCCAAGAGGACAAGGTGGACGGACATCAGGCAAGGTGAGAGAGGGCTGACAGGCTGCTGAGGATGGCAGGTAGGCAGTGACCACAGCAGGGATCTTCCTTCGCGTCTCGACCACCTTCCCCACCTCCCGCTCCTCTCTGCCGGGTCCTGTCCATGCCAAGTGTGGTCCTGAGTATTCTGTTATGGTGCAAGCGTGAGGCATCCCCTGCAGACTGGTACATTAAACACTGGTATTGGTCCCTGCCTGGTGGTCCTGTTTTGGGATTTTGTGGAACTTTTGACATGTGGGCAGCCTAGCTGGAAGACGTAGGCCACTAACTGTGGGCCTTGGAGATTATTATCTCCTCTTGTTTTGGCCCGAGTTCTCTGCTCCCTGGTTTGAGGAAGTGTGAGGAGGCTCTGCCTGCACTTCTGCCACCAAGCCTCCCTTGCTGTGCTAGACTAAAATCTCACCATGAGTGTAAATAAACCTTCCTCCACTATGCTGTTTCTGTCATGTATATTGGGGTGGAGAAGGGCAAGGTGGAAGACTCCCACTGGGAAGGATCCAGCTGGGCCACCATAGAGAACTCACTCCCCTGTGAGGAGGGAGAGATCGTAGGGGAAGCTGGCACAGTAAGTCTCCCAGGGTAGGCTGAGCCAGAGTGCACCCACCAAGGTCAAGGCCTGCCCAGGGCAAAATGATGCAGAATGGATGTGCCATCCAGTGCTCTCAATCCTCAGAAACCCTAAGCTGTCCCTCCATGGCTGACAGCAGGCAGCCTCCACACCAAGCATACCCACGTGCTCGGCTTCCCTTGCATCCTGCACAGCTATGCCCATTACATGGTGTTGGGGATTCAAAGCCAGGTCTTCGTGCTTGTGGAGAAGGCATTCCACTCCTGATGCCTCTCCCCAGCTCCATCCGTTTTTGATGCTTTCATGAGTGCAATACTGTGTAGCTATGTAAGCGGCTTTCAGTCTCCATCTGGGGCAGTTCCTGAGGACTGAGACCCTCCCTGGCAACCAGCTCTCTCAAGCAGAGACCATCAGCACCTTATACCTCTTATAAATCCTGCCCCACAGTTTGCTCATCAGCATAAGACAGGGGAGGTATGATTGTGGACAGCTCACCACAACCCCTGCCATCATCACCAAGGGTCTCTGAGAAACACAGGTCTGGCCCAAATCTCAAGAAAACCGTGTTCCTAGTAATATGCCAGGTTACACTGACACTGCTGGAGGACGCTCTGCCAGGTGATATCCCATAAGGTATCTGCCTGATTAGACTGGCAGGAGTGCAGCTTCCTCTGGCCCAGAAAGCAGGAATTCACTTTTGCATCCTCAGCTGCTGAGAACTCAACTGGTTTGAGACTATGGGGAGAAGTTGCATCTGGAGGGGAGGTGGGTGGAGAATAACCCTGTTGGGGAAGGGACACCCTGCTCAGCCTGCAGAGGTTCTGACGTCTGATTTTGAGATCAACAGGCCTCAGCCGGATGGATGTGCTCACACTTATAAAGCAGTGTGGCCCCCAGGCTACCCCAACAGAGGGGACATGCAGGAGAGGACGCTGCAGCGTGAACTACTGGGGCTGCTTACCTGCTCCCTGGTCACCGTGTAATTTTGTTCTTTAAATTTACTTATTTATGTATAGGAGCATACTGTCCTTGTCTTCAGACACACCAGAAGAGGCCATCAGATCCCACTACAGATGGTTGTGAGCCACCACGTGGTTGCGGGGAATTGAACTCAGGACCTCTGGAAGAGCAGTCCATGCTCTTAATCACTGAGCCATCTCTCCAACCCTATCACCACAGCACTCTTAACCCAGTGGATTGAGTTGATGCCTTGCATGGGTCTTCTCTTGGGTACCCTGAGCAGACCACACCCAAAGCAAGAGCCAGACTGTCCTGAGAGAAAGAAATCTAAAGCAGACAGAAACACAGAAACAGACAAAGCACCAGGCCCACACAGGGATGCAGGGAGGTCCAGGAAGCATGTTTAATTGGCCAGACACAGACAACATACATCGGGAGCAGGGAGGAGACCTGGACATGCGACAAAGCCTATCACCCTTGGCCTGCATCACCAGGTGAGGGCCTCCCTATGTCCCCCCAAGACACAGACAGGACAGCACCCCAAAAAGAGACTCCGAGGGTGCTGGGAATGCAAGCAGGGAAGGATGCAAACAACCACAGCCAGAACATCACCTTTCCTGGATTTGGTTTTTAAGTTGCCTAAAAATCCATCAGCAGCTACAGAATCTACTAGGGGCACCAACTCGAATAGTGCTGGCCTGTCACCCCTGTAAGATGGCTGCCCTCCTTCTGAGGCATGGAGAAACAGATCCAATGAGTAACATGACACTTCCAAAGTCTTGAAGGAATCTGAAGACTTGGTCCAGGAATGCAGAGGTGAAGGGTGCTGGGTGGGCCCCCCACCCTAGGAAGCAGACAAAACCTGAACCTAAAGCCAAGACAGAAGATGGGACCAACTGTTTATTCAACAAAAGCCTTTTATTCATTCAAAAATTAACCATTGGATTTATTCTGCAGATATTTTTTTTTTAAAAAAAATTAAAGTTGGGAGGGCAAAGCTTCCCACCGTGCCCTTATGCCAACTACCTTGCCAGTCCCAGATGACCTAGCAGAGGGGTAGGTGGGAGACATGCTGCCAGATATATGGGGCTGGGGGCCCAGGACCTCTGAAACCACAGCCCCCACTTCGGCCTTCCCACACTAGCCTCACCACTGGCTGGACCACTGCATCCCCAGGTGCCTCTGTGGCTCATCACCACCAGGGGGCATCCCCATCCATCCTTGGATCATGTAAATGCAGAAACACTGGGAAGAATCTTGGAGGTTTTCTGCTTGGTCAGCAGTGGGGGCTTTCTCAGGAGAGATGCCAGAAATCCCAGGCACCACACACTCCATCATCCCCTAGAAGAGACAATGTCCCCCAAAGTGCAAACGCACCTTCCTAGGAAATCAACTATCAAACTGTAGAGCATTTAAAGAAAGAGATGTCAATGCTGCATACATTTGCCTGTTACTTTAAACCTGGCTAGATACTGAAAAGTCGTGATACACTCCTAAGTCACCATCCACACAAAGTGGGCAGCCGATGCTGGGAAGAGGGGGTCACAGCATTCCTGGCCCTAGAAAGGAGGGTCTGCCGAGGGACCAGGCCTGGCCTCATCGGCTGGACCACACCCCTAAAGAAAGCAGCATCAGATGAGGTGGGGCCTCTGTGGAAATGAACTTGAGAGGCCCTCGGGCTGCGCCGAAGAGGCTTGGCCTCAGATTCTGGGCATGCTGTGTGCCTCAGCTAACTGCTGGTGAAAGAGAGACAGGCGTTAGTCAGCACGCATCCTTGAACAAAAAATAGTGTTCGACACACTGCCAAGAAAAGGCAGCCCAGGGCTGTCTCAATGTCCAAGGCTTGGGCCCAAGGACATAAACTGTGAAGACCAAAATGTCACACTGGAGGCTACAAACCAAAAAGCTGAGATGCTGAGAGGAAGCCTGGATCCATAGACCTCAGTGAACACCTTAGCTGAGGGCCCCATGCTTAACCCTTGACAGTCCTCAGCTAGGAATCCATTGGGTCTTGATGTCACCAAACATGTCACTGACAGAGAGGACAACCGAGGCCCCAGAGATCAGAGAGAGGTCCACTCTCATCCTCTCAACCTATGTCACCACATCTACTCTCTGTCCTAGAGACTCTGTCAGGGACCAATCAGGAAGATAACCCAAAGAGGCCTCAAAGAAAACTGCCTGTGTAACTGGAGCCCTGTGAGATCTGGTGGGCTGGCAATGAGCAAAGGGTCTGTCTACCCATGAAGAGAGTGCGTACACGGACTGGCTAAGCATTCCCACCCACAGGGATGGTCAGGCAAGGCAAAGTCACCTCTTGGTGGGGGACATCAACCCTCCAGCTGCTTACCCACAGAACATTAGCAAGGAAGATTTCGGCCTCCCAGAAGTATGGTGTAGATTACAGGAGAATCAGAGCAGAAGAAAAACCCGGGGGCAACCTCCCCCCTCTCAATGGTAGGCAGTAAGGCTACACAAACTAGAAGCAAGAACTGTGGGCTCAGGTCTGCCTTTGCAGCTGAGAGCCTCCCCAGGGAAATCTCCCCAGGGTGAGGATGAGCTCAAAGGAGCTGGAAAGAATCCTAAAGAGGGGCTAAAGGGAGTGTCATCAGACACAGTCAGCCTTTAGGCCAGACCATACACGCCAGCAGCCGAGGCTGTGCCCAGAGACTATACGGGGGTTGTACTGTCATTTATACGATCCTGTGCTCTCCAGAGTCTAGAAAACATAGCCATAGAACAGCGTCACAAACACAGGAACCCTAGCTCTGGGCTGAGAATCATACAATTTCCACAAGACCAGCCACCAGGCCTCACAGCCTTGCTGACCAAGAAGGGAAAAACTATAAAGTCCCAAAGAAGCCCAGCCTTGGGTTCCTTGCTTCTAGTCCATGGTTGCCTGCTGCTCCTGGTGACAAATATGGAGCCATATTCTCTGGCATGGCCTCCTCAGCAGCATGGCCTGGTCGTCCTGTCCTCCTACCCTTTCTTTCTCAGACTCCTGAATAGGGAAGAAGCCTGCTGCAAAAGGCAGAGAGAGGCAGGCGAGCAGGAGAGCAGGGGAATTCATATGCTACACCCAGCCCCCTAGCATCAAGGAGTCAGAGGCCAGCAGTGTGCAGAGAAGCCCACTTTGTACTCTCTCTACTGCGTGCCCCAAACCTTCCCCAGTCCTCACACCCAGAACAAGGCTCCATTTTCTCTCTGTTGTGACCATCAAAGCAAAAGTAGCAAAATTAAAAACAAAACAAACAAACAAAAAACCCTCAAGTTTGTTCTTGAAAAAAGTGTTACGGTTCCAAGGAGAGCAGAATGGAGCAGTGGGGTTTCCAGGGCAGAAGCTGGGGAACAATACGTTAGCCATTTAGGAATGCCCACCTTCCCCTCTCCAAAAATGGAGCATAGTATATGAAAAAAAAAGAGAAAAAGATTTTTGGCTTCTTGGCCGCTGCAGGCCACCATCCTCCCAAGTGAGGTGGGCAGGTGGGTGAGGGTGTGCACATGTAAACGGAGGCCCAGCGTCTGGGAGTTTCAGACACACAAGGTAGCAGCAATAGTTAACAACCAATAAATAAAAGGTATCGATTATATATGAGTATAAAAAAACCGCTCAGTTTCCCCACAAAATGCACAATACTGATATCACAGGAGCCACTTTCACTAACATCCTTGTCTGCCAGTGGCTTCACTGCCCCTGGCCACCACTGCAGGGGACCAGGCAGAGACTCAGGTCTCTGAGACTCAGAAGCCTTCTCCCAGTGGTCAGTATCTTTTAGAACAGAAGGTAGTTTGTTTTCTTTTACAATGTCCGTTTGAAATAAAAAAAAGAAAGCACACAGGCCGGACAGCAGGAAGAACGGGGCGGCTGCTGAGGGAGACAGCCAGGCGCTCAGTTTTGCAGAGGGCTGGAGCCTTTCCGTTTCAGTTTGTCGCTGTTTTGGACAAGCGGAGGTTGTTGACGATTGGAACCAGTGGCTTCAGGCGGCAGGTGGATGCAGGGCAGGGGGAAAGGGAACCAGGGCCTGGCTCGAGGGCGGGGCTTTGTGGAGCTGAGGAAGCCTGGGTGGGCACAGGGGCGGAGTCAGGCTGCGGTGGCCTCATGGCACAGGAAGAGGCTAGTGGTTCTCACACATCTGCAAGACAGAGGAGACAGGGTGTGTTAAGAGCTATGGTGACTGAGGGTCCCTTAGGGCCCAGCTTCCCGACTTCAAGCTGCAAGCTCATTTGGGTTTGGAAAAGCGAATATGATAGTAACGAGAGACTATAATGGTCTATCAGTGGAAGATCTCTGAATGTGCCACAACCAAAAATTTACTCAAAAATCAGTGATGACATGAGTCTGAGGTGCTTTAGTGACTCTCATCCATGTGGTATCTCCTGACCTGACAACCACCTTGACTTAGAGCACAAGACCCAAGCCCTTCCCATGATGTCACACCACACGCCAACGCTGCCTGAAAAGGCTTCAGGTTTGAGACACGTATGTTATGAATGATAGTGGTTTTGTTTCTGTTACTGCATCTATACGTTTTCTGTGTGTTTCTGTTACTGCATCTATACATTTTCTGTGTGTTTCTGTTACTGCATCTATACGTTTTCTGTGTTTCTCTTACTGCATCTATACGTTTTCTGTGTGTTTCTCTTACTGCATCTATACGTTTTCTGTGTGTTTCTCTTACTGCATCTATACGTTTTCTGTGTGTTTCTCTTACTGCATCTATACGTTTTTCTGCTCTTACAGAAACATCACAGTTTAATTACAGAAAAAAATAAAAATAAAATCATATGCATAACAAAAACTACTTTTAAAATAAAATCTTTACAATTTATTGGCTGTAAATGTTTGATTTAATGTTTATTTCATATACTTACAAACCAAGAGTTGTGTCAGTTTCTCAGTGAAGAGATGGGTCAGAAGCCAAGAAAGTGTGAGAAACTAAAGGGCGCTAGAGGGCGCTAGAGGGCGCTAGAGGGCGCTAGAGGGCGCGTCGGCATTCTGGGCTGGAAATCCTGAAAAGTGTATGGCATTGACTCACTACAAGATTCTTCGTATCTAACCCTGGGAAATAAATAGGATGCTCACCATGGCATACTCCTTAATAGTGAAGGACCGACCTGAGTGTCCAATATCAGGGAACTGGGCGGATAAAATATTTACAGCCATTAAAACCACTGATGGGACAAGTCACAAAGGACCCGATCAGAAGCAGGATGTGGATGCAGCACCTCTTCAGCCGTTACACATTTGAAGGAGAACACGAGGGTCAACAGGAGCATGGGGAAATCGGAGTCCTTACACCTCGACAGTGGGGACGTAAAATGGTGGGGAACAGAGTCTGAGGCCTATCTGCCTGTATCAGTGACATACCCACCAGTGTGTTTTAAAATGGCTTTGATTTATGGCTCCGAATATTTTATAAGGCTACTTATGAAACTTGATGGAACTGGTTCTTCGAAGAATCTGGGGTAATCTAACCCCACGTTCCCGGGCCTCGCTGTCTCACATTTTTGGTTATAGAATAGATTATTTCTTTTCTCCCTTAAGCTGAGGGCTGTGTTTTGTTTGTTTGTTTGTTTGTTTGTTGTTTGTGTCAACTGCAAAAAGATACATACACAGGGCAGAGGATGCGGCTTGGCAGAAGAGTACCTAAGACTCTTGTCTCAAACAAATAAATAAACATTCTGGAATTAAATTATGACCCAGGCTATGACAGGATAGACCTGGGAAACATACTAAAAAGAATCCAGTCTCAAAAGACCACTTCAAAATAGTTAAATCCACAGACAGAGAGCAGAATGGCTGGCAGGGAGAAGCTGGGTGGAGCCTGACTTCAGAGACAATCTGTTAGAATCAGGAAGAGGTGGCAGGCACATAACACTGCGAACACACTAAATGACAGTGAAGTGTTCAGTGTGTCTGTGCGAGTGTGTGCGTGCACGAGCGCATGTGTGTGTGTGTGTGTGCGTGCCTATGCGTGTGTGTGAACACGTGTGTGTACATTTGTGTGCATGTGTGTACGTGTGTGTGCGTGTGTACACACCTGTACATGCACACTCTGAGGATTAAAACCAGAGCCTCTTGCATCCTGGTAAGTATTCCCATACCAGTACATCACCACCTCTGTATTTTTTATGTTAAGACCAAATTTGTTATTCAATTGTCCAGGCAGGTCTTGAACTCGAGATTCCTGCCTCATCTAGGATGACAGGGATGATGGTGGTGATGGGGATGATGGGGATGACGGGGATGATGGGGATGACGAGGATGATGGTGGTGATGGGGATGATAGGGATGATGGGGATGATGGTGGTGATGGGGATGATAGGGATGATGGGGATGACGGGGATGACGGGGATGACGGGGACGGTAGGGATGGCAGGGATGACGGGGATGATGGTGTTGATGGAGATGATGGTGGTGATGGGGATGATGAGGATGATGGGGATGATGGGGATGATGGGGATGATGGGGATGATGGTGGTGATGGGGATGGTAGGGATGACGGGGATGATGGTGTTGATGGGGATGACGGGGATGATGGGGATGATGGGGATGACGGGGATGATGGTGTTGATGGAGATGATGGTGGTGATGGGGATGATGAGGATAATGGGGATGATGGTGGTGATGGGGATGATGGGGATAATGGGGATGATGGTGTTGATGGGGATGACGGGGATGATGGGGATGACGGGGATGATGGGGATGACGGGGATGATGGTGTTGATGGAGATGATGGTGGTGATGGGGATGACAGGGATGATGGTGGTGATGGGGATGATGTGGAAGATGAGACGGCAGGGGCACAACAAGGAGACAACAGGCCTACACCACCAGGCCTGGTTCCTTCTGTACTGTTTCCCTCCCAGACTCTCTTATAAAAAGCACAGAACCTTCCCTGGAACCAATGAGCCTTTCAGCGATGCAAATGTGGAATAAGGGGTGTCCTGGAGACTCCTGATGAAACATAAGGGAGGACGCTGCAGAACCCTGCTCTAGCGCAGCGGGCCTCCTGACCTGTGAGGGTCAGACAGTGGTACGCTTTCTCGTAGGTATGCGAACCAGAGAAAGGAGGCATTTAGGTGTTGCTAGAAGGAAGTAGGAAGTCCCCACAGAGACGGCACTGACTTAGGCTAGTTTCATGTCAACTTGACACAAGCTAGAGTGGTCAGAAAGGAGGGGGCAGCAGCACCTGAGAAATGCCTCTGTAAGATCAGGCTGAAGCAAGCCTGTGGAGCGCTTCTGTAACTAGTAATTCATAGTATCATGGTGGCTCGTACCACCCCTGGGCTGGTGGCCCTGGGTTCCATAAGAAAGCAGGCTGAGCAAGCCATGAGGAGCAAGCCAGTAAGCAGCACCCCTCCATGGCCTCTGCATCAGCTCCTGCCTCCAGGTGCCTGCCCTGCTTGAGTTCCTGTTCTGACTTCTTTCAATGAACAGTGGAAGTGTAAGGCAAGTAAACCCTTTCCTCCCCAGGTTGGTCATGGTGTTTTGTTGCAGGAATAGTAACCCTTAAGACAGTGGGAAATCAGGCAGGACACAGTGGTCAGGAGTAAAGGGAGGAAGTGGATGGGGCAGGGCTGATGTAGTTTTAGCTCCCCTTCCTGTCAGCCTCTGTGATCTGCAAACCTTTCTGATGTGCAGTTACTCTTGCTACACCCCCAATACTATTCATCTTTAAGCTTGTTGTTGCTTTGAAATATGATCTTATACTGTTGCCAAGGCTGGACTGAAACTCTCATGTAGCCCAGGCTAGCCTGAAACTTCTAAGTAGCCTAGGTTGGCCTTAAATTGGAAGGAGGCTAATCCTCATCCCTCAGCCTCTTGAATGCTGAGTTTGCAGGTGTGAGACTACACACCCACCAGGAAGCTCTGACTGAAATGTGATTCCTGAAAGACGATGGACACAGCGTTGCATCTGCTGCTAGAAAGCTGTAAATCTAGAGCCCATCAATACATTTAAATCTATTTCATAATGATGGATTTTTAAAAAGTCATCCGTTACCTTTGAAGGATGTCAGGAAAACAGTTAATTCAGGCTTGAGAGACGGCTCATTTGGCAAAGTTCCTGTCAAGCCAGCGTGGGGATCCATCTGGGCCTGATACCCAGCACCCACGTGAGAGAGCGTGGCAGCACGTGGACACTGAGCAACTGCAGACAAGCAGATGCCCAGGGCTTGCTAGCCAGCCAGCCTAGCCTAACTGATGAGGTCCAGGCTCAGTGAGGAGTGTGGATCTCAGAGGGAGACACCGGATGCCAGCCTATGGCCACACATAAACATGAGGGCATGTACACAAACCAACTCATTTTGGAAAGTGATAGAGAGAAACAAACAAATGTAGCTGCTAAAATCTGGTTATCAAGTCAGCAAATAGTAGTCAGACTCAAGTCCCCAGCAGTGTGGGGCTCATCCTCTCGGATCAGGGAAGGCAGCAGGGAACGCACAGCAGGCTGTCCTCTGCCCTCCGTGCTCATGGCACGAGCAGACACACAGTAAACAAATAAGTGTAATTTAAAAAAAAAAAATGAGCCGGGCAGTGGTGGATCACACCTTTAATCCCAGCACTCAGGAGGCAGAGGCAGGCAGATCTCTGAGTTCAAGGCCAGCCTGGTCTACATGAGTACCAGGACAGCCAGAGCTACACAGAGAAACCCTGTCTTTAAAAACCAAAAAATTAAATAAATAGAAGTAAATAATAATTCTGGCCACTGTGACTATGTCTAGGTCAGATGGGCAAGTTTAGGAAGTAAACTTTTAATTTGTCACATTTATTTTTAATGAAGTTCTCTTTGTAAGCATCAGTTTCAATGTCTTGTCGATATGAAAGTGTTTCTGTGCTGAGTAACATTGATAGAGGGGCTGGAGAGATGGCTCAGGGGCTCAGAGTGCTGGCTGCTCTTCTGGACGACCCAGTTTCAGTTCCAGGTACTCGCACCAGTGGCTCACACTGGCCCCTAGCCCTAGCTCCGGGAGATCTGATGCCCACTTCTGGTCCCTGAAGGTACATATAGCAACACACACATACATACACACACGCGCGCGTGCACACACTCACACACATTTTAAGTAATGTTAATGGAAACTTCAAAGTGGAGATTTGAACTGGAGAAGAACAGAAGAACATCCTGTCCCTCAGCCCTCTGGCCCCTACTGCCTAGTCTTTGATCTGTCTTCAACCCAGAAAAACTTATTTTCAAGCTAACCAGAGGCTGGATTTGGGCTTATGAAAATGTTAAAACACCACAGAGTTGTGCCTGACTTGAAGATCCTCAGGAACTCTGAAGACAAGGGAATACGCTGCCTGCCCTGTGGGTGGGTGGTCACCCCCAGCCTGTCCTGTGGGTGGGTGGTCACCCCCAGCCTGTCCTGTGGGTGTGTGGTGACACAGGGAATACGCTGCCTGTCCTGTGGGTGGGCGGTGACACAGGGAATACGCTGCCTGTCCTGTGGGTAGGTGGTCACTCCCAGCCTGTCCTGTGGGTGGGTGGTGACACAGGGAATACACTGCCTGTCCTGTGGGTGGGTGGTCACCCACAGCCTGTCCTGTGGATGGGTGGTGACACAGGGAATACGCTGCCTGTCCTATGGGTGGGTGGTGACACAGGGAATACGCTGCCTGACCTGTGGGTGGGTGGTCACCCCCAGCCCTGCCTCAGAATCCCTCAAACTCACCACAGCTCTGGGCCTGGACTATACCAGCCCATCGTAGAGGGACAGCGCCTGCACGATGGAAGGGTCGGCCTTGGAGCCCTCCTGGAACTCCTGAAGAGTCAGCTTGCCGTCAGCGTTCTGTGAACAAGAGAGGTAGGTGGCTGAAGGTGGCCATCGCCTTCTGGGACAGTCTGCCCACGGCTGGTCTCAACAGAACTTCCTGAGTCTTCAGATGAGTCAAGCAGACAGCATCAGATACCTGACACGTCTCTCAGTCCCCATCTGGGGACCAGGGAGAGACACAGTGACAGGTCTGAGGAAGGAATAGCATGCGTGTCAACTTAGAGACACCTGTGATTGCAGGCTTTCCATCGCCAAATGGTACCGGCTCATTTCCTGCTTGTAGCTGGGCTCAGTGCCACAGGCCTATGTTCTCAGCTACATAGAAGGCTGAAGCAAGAGAATCATGACTTCAAAGCCTTGGGATACATGGTGAGTTCAAGGCCAAAGTGGACAGTTTACAGAGCCTGGGACATACAGGAAGAGTTGGTGTGGAGGGTGGGGGTTGGAGGCGTAGCTCAGTGGCAGAACGCTTGTTGAGAGCTTATCTCAATTCCTAGGTTTACAAAAGAATCCAATACCAGGGGCAGAGGTTTGCCAAACAAATGTGAAGACCTGAGTTTGAGTCCCAGCAACCATGTCAAAATGCCAGGAGCAGTGGCACAGAACTGTATCCTCAGGGGATAAACCTTGGGGCTCACTGGCTGGGCAGCCTAGCCAAATCAGTGAGTCCCAAGTCCCAGTGAGAGACCCCAGTGGGTGAGCTAAGGGTACCCAAGGCTGACTCCTGGCATACTCATACATGTGCATGAGTGTGTAAGCATGCACACATGCACACCAGGTCACATACAGTGGCCAGTCCTTAGGCTTCATGTTCCACGTGTTTCCCTGGGGTCTCTTTTGAAAGCCAGGTCACATTAAGTCCCAGGAATCCTAAGAGGGAGCCTAATTAGAACTTGGGCCTCAGATGGAGAGATGGCTCAGTGGTTAAGAGCACTGGCTGCTCTTCCAGAGGTCCTGAGTTCAATTCCCAGCAACCACATGCTGGCTCACAACCATCTGTAATGGGATCTGATGCCTTCTTCTAGTGGGTCTGCAAACAGTGACAGTGTACTCACATTCATAAAATAAAAATAAATCTTAAAAAAAAAAATAACTTGGGTCTCAGGCACCATTCATACGTGTCCAGCACCAGGGAAGGGAACACAGGTAGCCCCACCCTGGCAAGGCCAGTCTTGTGATGGCTAAGAGCCTATATGTGTGACACTTCCTGATCCCCTAAGACCTCAAGTCTCCGGGGCACTCTACAAAGGAGGAAGGAGCTGCATCTATCCCCTGTGGTCTGACAAGGGAACTGGCTTAGAGTCACTACTGAGGGACCTCATAACCACACCCCTGTAAATCCAAGGCCTATGACTTTTTCAAAACCAGAACCACAGGTTGATGGCCTTAGTAAAATCAGTCTGGGTCCTGCTACAAGAGGGCTGCTGCTACCTTCTGCACTCTCTGAAAGTTTCTGAGGACAGCAGGAGCCCAGTGTGCTCCTCCCACGTGTTACCCTCCTTTCCTAACTGAGAGCTGGAGCTTGGGGCAGCCTGGTACCACGCAGCAGTGGTCGGAAGCCCGGTGAGCTGTATTCTCATGGAGACTGGAGACGCTGTTCTTTTACCCCATGGCTTCAAATTTCCATGTAAATCAAAGTGGTTGTAGTTTGGTTGGGGTACAGCTCAAGCAGGGCACGGGTTTGTATGTGCACAAGGCCAGGGCCTTGTACGGTCATACCCTTGTCATACCAGGGTATGACCCTCGACAACACCAGAAAAACAGGGGAAGGCCCTCACAGAGTCAAAGGAACCACAGAGTTCTGCAGAAAAGAGAAAGGGGCTCTGGGGAGGCGGCCTGGTCTGTAGAGTGCATGAAGAGTTGATGAGTTTGACTCCCTGCATCCACTCAAGAGCCAGGCATGGTGGCACGTGCCTGAATGCCAGCCAGGGCTGAGACGGGAAGATCGCCGAGGTTCACTGGACAGCCAGTCTCGCTGAAGCACTGAGCAACAGGTTCAGTGAGAGACTGTCCAAAAGGAGCAATAGAAGATGCTTGCTGTCATTCTCTGGCCTACAGACAGACAGACAGACAGACAGACAGACAGACATGCACATGCACACACCCACACCCACGCATACACAGGAGTACACATGTGCATATGACAGAGACACATACACACAAGAGAAAGAGGTTTCTCAAGCCAGGGTCTGTGGCTAAAACGCAGCAGATCTGTGAACACAGATGAGGGGGTCAGACAGTCCCCAGAACCTCAGATGACTTCAGAACCAGTGCTGCACCCAGGATCTCGTCCCATAGCTGCTGCCTGGATCAAAGCGTCAACTTAGGCAGGTGGGTGTGCCCACCATGTTTGTGCAGTGCTGGGGATGAAACCCAAGGCTTTGCACACAGTAGGCCTCTTCCACTGAGCCACACCCCAAAACTATAACACAGATTCCCTTTAAACCACGCCTCAGAATACACACATACACACACACACACAAATAATAACCTGTTTCCTGGCCCCTGTAAGGTTCATTTTTACACACTTAGGGCCATTCTTGTGAGAAGTCAGGGTTCTGTAGAACGTCAAAACAGTCCAGGATAAGAAAAAAAGAAAAATGGAGGCCACGGGCCCTGCCTAATAACAAAAACTTCCTGGAAGCTTCCTGGGAAACTCAGCAAAAACCCTGAATGGCTACTGGCTGCGAGCCAGGTTGACTGGCCTGAGCCAGCTCCAAGGATCAGTAGCAAAGCCTGGCCAGGTCCAGGGTCTCTTATGGGCCACCTTACCTTATCCATCATGGCGAAGATCCGGTCCACTCTCTTCTCTGGTGTGTTCTCTTCTTCTGGGAGCTCCACGGTGTTCCCCTGCCAAGGGGAACAAGGCCCAAGCACAAGGCCCGTGGCTAAGCTAAGCCCTTGCCCAGTCACCAGGCCACTAGACCAGCACTTTGACCTTTGAACTCATAACTAAACCCTTGCCTCAATACCCTAGGCTGGCAATGAGGATTATCCCCCCATCTCAAGTCCTACAATGTCTCAAAGGGATATCTCAGGCATCTGGCTCTGCTCCCTACCTAGTCCCTGCCTGACCAGCCGGTGGGGATGCCCATGGCTACTCAACAGCAGTGTTTGGTTGTCCTGGATTGTCCTGAGACAGGGGAGTGACTCTGGTTTCCCCTGGGCCCTGAAGGTCATCAGTGGCCTTCCCACTACCCCTTCCCTCCCGGGACTCACCCTTGCATGGCCTCCCGGCCACCCCCCTGAGACTCACCACCATCTGGTAAATGGCATCCACTATGTCCAGCATCTCGTTTCTGGTGATGTAGCCATCGTTATCCAAGTCATAAAGCTTGAAGGCCCCTGTGATCAAGCAGCCAGGTGGAGGTCACCCTGGCCCAGGACAATAGCAGTGCCTTCCCTCCCCCTCCCTGTGACTCAATACAAAGCCTGAGGTCAGACCTTCCCACCAAACATCAGGCCAATATATACTGATAGGAGGGCACACTCATACACCAGTGTGACCAGAGTCAAAGATGAACAAGCTTTGGCATGATGGTGCACGCCTTTAATCCTAGCACTCAGGAGGCAGAAGCAGGCAGATCTGTAGCCGGCCAGCCTGGTCTACAGAACGAGTTCTAGGATAGCCAGGGCTACACAGAGAAACCCTGTCTTAAAAAACAAAAGATAAAATACACACAAATTTAGGAATCTTATGCAGAGGCTCATGTCTCTAATCTGAGCATAAGGAGGTGGAGTCAGGAAAATGGTGGTTCAAGAACATCCTGAGCCACATAGAACATTCTAGATAAGCCTGGGCTACATAGTGAGAACTTGGAAAAAAAAAAAACCCAAGGGTTGAGGCTGTAGCTCAATGGCAGAGCACTTGCCTAACATGGGCAAGGTCCTGAGTCCTGTCTCCAGAACGACAAAAATGATAACAATAATAATTTTTTTTAAATATGCAGGCATTGGTCTATAAGGGCTGAGGTCGTGGCTAGAATGGCCTGTGAGAGGACGGGTAGTCCCGAGGGTGGGAGTCACTGGAGGAGACAGCCAGGTCCTTAACCTGGGTCATGAGGCCACCATAGCAGTAGAACCCCCTCGATCCCAGACACCGTGGCTCTGCCTCCCCTGCCTCTCATCTTCAGGCCTCACAGAGAGCAAAAGGAGGAACTAAGGCCATGCAAGGGCGCACGTGAGCAAAGTCCTCCTGTTTCAACACAGATGCCACTGTGGACCGGGAAAACACCCACCAAGCAGGGCCTTCTGCCAAATGTCTCTCTTCTTCTAAAAAATCCCCTGTTCCTCCCATGTCAGCCAAGGACCCTCCAGGTCATGCATGTCCCTGACTAAGTAGCTCCCCCAGCCTTCCAGATGTAGCCTTTCACACGTCGTCCTGGCCTGGAGCCCTCGTCCGCCACTGCAACTCCTCTCTTGGCTCACCAACTCTCAGCCAGCACCTCCTCCTCCCCGCTTTGCCCACAGCATCAGGGAATTTAGGAACCCCATCACTGCGACAGATTGACATCTTAGCCCTGGGTAGACCCTCAATTCCTACCCGATGCCACAGGTGGCACCTTCACCTAATATTTGTTGATTGAATACGTGCATGAGAGACATCAATATGGCTGAAGACCTGAGTCCAGCAGGGATCTGGATCCTGTGAGCCACCACCCACAGGATCTGCTGTCTCGGTACTGTATCTACCTGAATGTCACTCTTGTTCCCACACACCCCCCAGACCCTGCAGCCTGTCCCACCGATGTGGCTGTGAACTCTGCCTCACAAAATCCAAATTCCCCCCTCTGGGACCTTTCTCTGTCCCTGAAGGAAGGGCAGGGTGTCCTCTTGCTCTGGCCCTCCACAGATGGCCTGGCCTGCTTCCTTGGCCACATTGGGCCCACCTGCCCAGGGCCCATTGCCCAGGCCTCCAGGACTGCCCTGACTTCCCAGAGCAGGACACCATCTGTGTCACCAGGGCAGGTGTCTAACGCCTCCTCGTGGCAAGGGCTGGGGCTGCATCCTTCCAGCCTGGTGGGGTGTGGGAGGGGGGACTTACACCGCAGCTTCTCATCCAGGGTCCCCCTTGAGGTCACCGATAGTGCCTGGATGAACTCAGAGAACTCAATCCTGCCATCCTGAGGGAGACAAAGGGGACGGCTTTGGTCAGCACAGACCTCGTGATGGGCAGTAGAAGACTGATGAACAAAGGGCGGGAGGGAAGGAGTGAGGGGCAAGAGGGGAGGGAAGGAGGCAAAGCTGGCAGAGGGATAGTATGCAGCAGAGACTGAGGTGCTGATACCTGCTGTACTAGTAAGTACTGAAAACCTGTGCTCAGTGGTACTCAGTGAAAGAACCAGGCACAAAACTCTAAGCCTCAATTTCTTCATCTGTGAAATGGGGGTATTGAAAGAACCCACACCACAGGAAATGGTGGCCATGACTGTAATTCCAGCGCTTGGAAGGCAGAGGCGGTAAGACAGGTTCAAGGCCAGCATCAGCTACACAGAGAATCCAAGGCCAGCCCAGGTGGCCTGGCTAGTGTTTGTTTATTTGTTTGTTTGTTTGTTTGGTCTACTTGATACAATGCAGAGTCATCTGCAAAGAGGGAACCTCACTCAACTGAGAAAATGCTCCCACCAGTGGGCATTTTCTTAATTAATGCTTGGTGTGGGTGGACCGCCCCTGGGCAGGTGGTCCGGAGCTGTGCTAGAAAGCAGGCTGAGCAGACTGGTAAGCTACACTCCTCCACAGCCTCTGCGTCTCCTGCCTCCGGACTCCTGCCTTGCTTACAGCCAGTGACCGAGACACGGAAGCCAACCCAAACCTTCCTCCCAGGCTGCTTCTCATCACCATGTTTACACAGCAACAAAACCAACCAAGACCCTGGGCTAAATAAGATCTCCTTCTCAAAAAACAAAACAGAAACGCCAACCCACAGATGGCTGTCCGGCTGTTAATCCCAACCCCACACCTAGCGTTTGTCACACTGTGAACACCAGTTACAGCCGCTGATCTTATTCTTAGAGGCTTCTGTACTTCACAGATATGTATGTGTGCGCGCGCATTATGTCTTTATACATGTATGCAGCAATCTGTGTATTTGCACGTGCAAGCCCGTGTATTTATGCACATGAACATGGGGCACTGAGTGTGTCAGGCATACAGGTGAGCACGTGGGTGGGTGGGTGTGCAGACGTAAGCACTTGTCAGTCTTGATCTGTGCTGGTGTGTGCCGGTGTCACACCTCGGCGTGTCATCGTGCCCACATGCATGCGAGTGCCCAGTCCTGAGCGTGGAGCTGTGCGGTGAACTGGGATGCAGTCACGGGACGGGCTGAGACCGGGACAGACACAGCTCACCTTGTTCTCGTCGAAGACATTGAAAACAAACGTGGCGAACTTGGTGGGGTCTCCAAATGGGAAGAACTGCTTGTAGATCTTCTGGAAGCCAGCGGCGTCCAGCTGCCCGCTGGGGCAGTCCTTAATGAAGCCCTTGTACCTGCAGATGGCAGAGCAGGCGGCACAGAACATCACCCACCAGGAGCCTCTGCCATTGGGACCCAGGAAAGCCATGAACCCTTCCCTGGTCCAAGACACAGACTCCATGACATTGGTAACAGCGTCCCATGGTCTGAGGAACATGGACTCAGATGTCACAGGCATGGGCTCATGCCTCTGCCACTCGCTGGCTGTGTGACCCTGGGCAAATCACCCCACTCCTCTGAACCTCACATGGACACAAGAAATAAGAGGCAGCACAGGGATTTGCCTAGACATGGCACATAGAACTCCTGGCCTCTCTGCCTGTCTCTCCTCACAGAACAGCTAAAATGACTCCCACCAATGATCCCAGGAAGCCTCCTCACTCCTGGCTGCATAGCACCCTGACACGGAATGGCAACTGTCACCCCGACCCCATCCCTGCTCAGAACAAACACCCACTGGAACCACACATGGGGCTCAGAAGACCCTTTGTACTTACTCCACTTGGACGTGTCCACCCTTGCCCCAGTACCCAGGATGAGACTCTCCCATGACCGAGGCCACTGAGAGGCCACTGAGAGGCCAAGGCCCAGTCTAACTTGCCAGCTGTGCAAACCTAAGCAAACACCTTCACCTCTCAGAACGTTCCTGTATGAACCACGATGGTCACTATGCCAACCTAGCTAGACTTGGGTGGCATGATGGGGGACCTGATTTTAAAATTCACCACAATACACTCTCCAATATTGAGCAATGCTACAAAGCCATGTAAAAGAGTCCCTAGTGTGACCGTCAGCACACTGAAATTTACGTGTGGCTTTAAGTCAATGCCTGTGTAGCTGAGGCCTCCCCTGTCCCTCAGGTGGGGCATGCTCTCTTCTGAGGATCATTCCCCCCACAATGGAGCCAGAGCAACTGGCCTCAACCAGCAGCAGCATCTAGTCCAGGGACTCTGTCATCTTTATTGTCTTATGGGCAAGCTACTGAGAAAGTCCATTTCCAAGACAGGGAAACTGAGGATGCAAGAGAAGTTACTTATAAGGCCATTCAGCCCACCCTGGTGCTGTGATGGGGAGGGAAGGTGAATTGAGGCTGATACTCAGAAATCTGGGTCACTGACTTGCCTATGGTTCCCTCACTACCCACCGGAAGGTTCCATTTGAATACCATCCTCAAAGTAGAGGATTCTGGGAGTCTGGAGCTAGAAGCCTCTTGTGACACTGTAACTCCTACACCCACAGAGCTAGTCACAGTGCCATGCAAGGTAGGACAATGATCCCATTTTACAGATGAGGCCAGCTCAGCTGTCCACAGCCACCCATAGCCTCTGCTCTCTGCATGCCTTGCCCTGTGTTGGCTATTCTCAGCCTGCCAGCTTGTTTCCCCACATCCACCCAGCACAGAATTTCTCCAGATCCACGGAGGTCCCTTCATACTGTTCTGGAAAGTCTCAAAGGGCCTACTTGCCCTGGCAACCCCAGGAGGCCTGTGGACCCTGTTACAGGCCACACACCAGAATGAAGCAGAGTCGGTCAGGCTGGGAGAGGCCAGACACCGGGTCTGAGCATCTTCCCTTGAGGCTATCTCCAGCTTCATGCAGAGTTTTAGGTTAGCTCCTGACTGCCAGACTCAAAGCCAGAACTCCAGAATCCATAGGAGACACCCCTGCCTACAGAATCCATAGGAGACGCCCCTGCCTACAGAATCTATAGGAGACGCCCCTGCCTACAGAATCCATAGGAGACGCCCCTGCCTACAGAATCCATAGGAGATGCCTCTGCCTACAGACTCCATAGGAGATGCTCTGCCTACAGACTCCATAGGAGATGCCCCTGCCTACAGAATCCATAGGAGACGCCCCTGCCTACAGACTCCATAGGAGACGCCCCTGCCTAC